CGTCTGTAGAGCGATTCTTTAATATATTGTCAGATATCAGTGGCTACTTTTGTCTGGCTTTGTTTGAAGCAAAAGGCACGAGTGAGCGTCGTATTACGTCATTATACAAAAAATAATTTGCCCCCCATTAATATTCTACCTAAACAAAATAGTTTTACTATCTATCCGGTTGGTGTAATGCATAGCTTTACTGGGAACATGACCTCATTTGTGTGTGCCATAACCTGATTTTCATAGGCGGTGGTAGCTGAGAAGGCTGAGATATCCAATCAGTTTTCGCATGTAACCTTTGCGTAACAAACAGCAAACAAAATTTCTGAAGCATCTAGTTGCCCACGAAGTGGACCTATAGATGATTTTGGTATTACTTTGTTGTTGTTAGAATTCTTGTTCTTATTGGTATGAAAAAAAAATCGTTTTCCTCTTGAATTACTCGACTGACTGCATTCACGTTCTCACGTGCTTAAAGATTGTTGTTGTCGCTTGAGGGCTATCACTTTTATTTATTTCTCAAATTTGTGTGGTGTGTATTGAATTCGAATTTTTAATCTGATGACCTCAACAAAATCAAATATAGCGCACATTGTGACGCGTTCGCGATCGTTGCGTTCTGAAGGTCGTAAAGACTACGGTACCGTGAAAGATTACATAACCGTACTACTTGTTTTTGACATTCATGTCCATATATTTGAGCGTTGCTCATTTGCTCTCTTGTTATTCAAAAGTGGGCGTACGACAGTACACAATTTTGAAAACGTTTGAGAGAAAAAACCACATGTCCCAATCTCGACGAATAGATTTATGTCAATGTCTATTTTGGAAGATGATATCTTTATCACTTTGAAGAGTAACGAATTTATTTGCGCGACTGTGTGACAGATAACTGGAAAGCTTTCCCAATATGAAACTACGCACTATCGAATATTTCTTCGAACGATCACGACTAGTCCATTATATGTGATTTGACAGGGTCAAGAGAACGGAAATCATTATTATTTTCGTGGTATGTCCAGAAATAAGCATCTAATATAGACAAATTAAAGTAGGCTACATCTGTCCCGGTGTGTCGATTTTAAAAACTTTTGTCTGATAATCCTGAGGATACGGTTTACTAAGTCACACACGACCAGGTGAAAATACTTTGATCCGACCTAATACTTCTTGTATCAAGTGCTTAATCTAGTCTGGGCTGTTGGATTACAATACATTAGTTATTTCCGTCCACGGAATACGGTTCGGACATAAATAGCGGACATCTGTTTGAGGAAATTGGCTTTTCATGTGAACTTTGCAGGAGCTTGTGAAATAAAGCATTTTGTGGGGTTTAATTTCAGATATATGGGTAACGAGTACGTCTATGATTGATACTTAAGTCAATGCTGTTTTGTTGATGTTAACAGGTAGGTTTCCTTTAAAATGCCACTTTATCCAAGATTCCAGTTTATTAAGCCATTCGTCAGATGTTTCCGATGTTTTCTCCGTGCAATGTAATCCACGTATGCGCAGTTGCACCTGTTTCTTAATAGGATATATATATTATATTTTCTGCTCTCGAAAATATTAAATGCTTTGTTTGGATAACAATATTACATCTATAATATTTTAGCGACCATCGTATTTTTTTGTGCTAAGGTGCGGGAAGACATCGTGGTTAAAAGGAGTCGTGTTTCTTGTCGTCTGCTTGTCTTAATGCCACAAGATAACGTTGATGTAAATCGTATTTAGATTTTCTTGTTTTAATATCATTACAAAGTCCATTGAAATCGAAAAAGGGATATACGATAAAGAAAACTCCAGTCAGCATCAACAACCCATGACAGGTATTTGAAAATTTTTCTAAAGGGATGTTGGGTCTGAGCAGACATATCAACAAATGAAATACCTAACGTAAGAGGTTGAACATAGGTTTCGACTGGTTTGATAGTGCCACTTACCAATGTCAAGCGAACCGTATCTAAGTGCCACGCGAGACCTTTGGCTACCCTGTAATATTAAGCATGAATTTAGTGAAAATATTGGGTTCCTTCCTCGAATAGTCATTTCCACATAACCGATTTGAAGGAATTCTCATTGCTTTCTCTTATAACTTGTTTGTGTCATCACTATTCTGTTTTTACTGAATACAAGTAGACGTATATGGTGTTGGCTTTGCGCTTTTCAAATGGCACGCGTGCTACTTGACCCTGTTAGTGAACCAACTCTAAGCTTTTATTAGCAGTGGTTTACCAGTATGTAAGTATGAAGACGGTGCTATACCTAACAAAGCCATTCATTTTATTACATCAACTATGGCAATTATATACAATTGTCAAGGTATGATGCATTGGGGTGGAATGACAATTGACATTAGTGGTTTTTAAATGGTTGTAGTGTAATTCAAACCTTCACAACATTTTAATTTTCATGGTCCAATATACAATTCAAGACAGCCTGAACAGCGACATTCTGTGTTAAAAAGACTTTATAAATATTGCTATATTTGTATGTGCATGTTTGATAACGTTTCGGACAATTACTTTCAATAGTACTTTTGTTTATCAAGCACTAAGAAGGTAGAATACACGAGGTGTACAAGGTTACAGCATGTGCTTTGACACAGAAAACATCCGAACAAATATTATTTTATTTTATAAGCTTATTTTCGAACGAGTCAAACCCCAGACCAAAATTATGGCAAAATATGCGCGTGACAAAAAAGATCCGCCATTTTTGTTGTAACTGAATTTATTTTGTATGCGTGCCACGACAAATAATAATAGCTGACAATAACTTTATACGATGTTTAAGACATAAAACTTTGTAACGCCTTATTCATAATTCCATTGTATTTGGCAGGAAATATGGCGCCAAAACCGCCTTGAAAAAATATTCAATATTTTGCCTGGTTATGGCCAACCACAACCTTCCTTATTCATTTGATTGTTTTCACGCCAACAGGCAAGAATACCAAATCCAAGTAAAATTGTATGGTGACTAGTTCAAAGCAAATTCCATTGTCATTTATGGTGAAAAATGAACTTTTCTCTGAATTTTAGGCTGTGTAAACTACCGGTATTCACGCTAAACATCGATAGCCAAAATTATAGTGTTCATTAAAGTTTACAACATACGTGGGAGAGGCATCGGCCGTCAATCAGCGGGTCAATCAACCCAAAAGAAATTGGATTTTATCGCCGAGTTTAGATTAATATGTCTGCGTAGCGTCTAGCTTTTATTTGTCTTCAATTTTTTATATCAGACGGTAGCCTTTTTTAGCTTGCGACGACAGGAGTATTAACTTAAGACTTAAAAAACTTCTGTGGTATGTGTACACAAGCTAACGCATTTTTCCACCACTAGTTTAAAAAGACGTGCGAGGTCGTGACAAAACTAGCACTATGTTGGAATGCTAAATTGAGACTTCCTTTCACAACAAATATGAAATGAAGGTGTTGAATCAACGGCTCGGTCATGCCTGTTATCAGACTATTTCATTTTTTACAAAATAAACAAAATCAATGAGGTGGTGTAGCATAATATATGCGTAGTCATGAGTCATTTTCAAGGAGTCGAAGGTTACAAAATATGAAAATGGATTTTTCGTGTATATTCAAACTCCTTTTTTCAAGTTGATTCCCTCTTAGCAATATTGCTTTACAACAAAATATATCATGTATATATACTTGATACTTGAACCAACAATACTATAGTGTTGTAATTGATGTTGAATCCGGAATTTAATATTAGTTTACTCAAATCCCAACAAGATGGCGGACAACAAGCAAAGGATGGCGGCTTTTTCAGTCCACGTGTTAAATACAAAACCTCATTACATGATTGTAGGAGTATGTTATATAAAAAAAAGGCTGAACTTCTGATGGCAATGACCGTGCTACAAAGGTAACACAATTTCGGCTATAAATATTTTTGTAGTTGGTGAAAATCAGTATGATGTTTAAAAAGGCCACGGTACCGTCATTCGTTGAGGTGACGCCACACACGCGATGTTGTATTTGAACCAAACGGCGTAAGTTAACGCTCCTGGAAATGAATAAAAATATTTCCTGAAACCGAAAATAAATTGTCTCAAGCTTGCACGCTCGCACCGTTGGTATGTAGCGTTGGCAAAAAAAATCCAAAACCTTTCGTGAGAACGGGAGACAATCCCACACCTCAGCGATTCCAATATCGGCATAATTATACCACAAATTCCATGCCAAGCGTGCTGTACAAAACTTTTCATAAGAGTTAAAAATGTCGTGTTTTGGTTACCATTTACGGTAGGTGTGCATGACCAAATGATATTCTTGTTCAGACATCAAATTTTAGTTTTGGCCTGACGACAATCATTTTTCGAAAATTGCTATTATGAATTCGTGCACTTGTGACTAAATCTGTGGTATTTGACGTCCAAATACAAAATAAACATTTTTGGCAATATTTCCGAATCCAATATTCACCGACTACGTTATATCTGTTTTATTGTTGATATCATAATACGCAAACACATCCGCTCCCATACTCATAACCAAATGCGGTGTACGTCAAGTCTGTCGCCTATCAGCTAATAACTTTTGGCTTTGAGCCAACATAACCAAGTGGATCGATCTTTCATTAGATTTTCACTAAAAATGCAATTTTGACGTATAAATAAAGATGTTAACATTTATTTTCATGCGGAGTTCTTGTTTGTGAATTTTGTCGTCGGTTTAAATTTCCACAAAGTTTGATCATCTATTTATTCGTACTCAATGTAGTACGCAACGTGTAGTGAAAATTTGGGCGCTACTATATCAGAGTAGAGTTTCTTTTTTAAAATAAAAAAAAAAAATTAAAACGAAGATTTAATCTTACAGCCAGCTTATAACCTTCCATACTTTTAGAAATAAACTAGTATTAATTACTGGAGGCAGATGTCATTTACCCATCAAATACGATGCTCTTCTCAGTCAACTCACTTTCTCAGGAACACCTATATGAGAGTAGTTTTATAACGCATCATTTTTTATTTTTTTTTTATTTTTACTTATTTATCGAGAACACAAAATATAATGAAAAACGACATGAAATAATAAAAATAATAAAGAACATGTGAAGCAAAATTTAAAACTGTTTTGCATATAAAAAAATTCTTTAGAACACAACATTTTGTTATCATTGGAACGAAACTCTCAATGGAAAATAATTTACTTGTTTATTTATTTATACACTGCGGGGATAGGTCGCAAACACACACACACGTGTCTGGTAGGATTGTACAAAAATAAAGCCTCTTAATCTTCTTCAAGAAAGCTAAGAATTCCAATGCTTTTTAATGAAATATTCCGACATATATCCGAAAGCTATAAACAAAAATACAATTCGTATGATTGGCTCTTGTAGTTTCTAAATTAAAAACTAGACCAAATCAATGTGTAAAAATACATATGAATGGAACAAATTCAAAAGATTCAATATGTCAGTTTTTTGAAATACACCACGTTTTAATTTTGACATACAGGTTGACTGACATTCTTCAAAATTAGCATGGATTAAATTGGTCGTGGTATCTATAGCATTTTAGCTGTCATAATATCGACATATTTCGGAATATCTAACCTTTGTGAAGTTGTATTTAAATAATAATAAAATGTAGCAGACTAACTATTATAGATGGTAACTAAACACACAAAAATATACAGCGCTGTGTTACAGCGATTTTTTATATTTGCAAAAAATTTAGCAGAAAAATATATTTAAAACAAAGAACACAATAACGAAAAACGTCCTAAAATTTTCTTCGTGTGTGTTGTAATATACATATAGTACAAAGCTGAAGCAGTGTAGTATTCAAATTATCACATAATCAAAATGATTTTTTATATGAATCTTGTTAATTTCAAATACCGGATCTTAAACGAATAATATTGTTCTCCTTCAAGCCAAATTTAAATACCGATCTTGAAATTTAACTTTTGCTTATTTTATAATAAAAAAGCGGTTTATGAACATTTTGAAATTGATGGAACATTTTGTAGTATTTTTGCAATGGCCTGAAATATTGATTCTGGTTTGGCATTTAAACCTGGGACAATTATATTGTAACATAATGAAAAATATGCATTTTTGAGTAAATAAATCGTGACTCTTACTTTTTGCCATACAATGATCATATTTCGATCAACTGATATGACAGTAATACTTCAATTAACAGTTAAGCCGCATTGAAGCCTAAAGCACAACAAAGATAAAAACAAATTTTTTATCAGCGCGCAAAGATGATATCAAGCAAGCAATGTGCTGTTTATTTTTGGTCGTTTTAAGCTGTCACTCATGTCCTTTTACAGAACGAATATTTCGGGATTTCTATGATGAACGTAATAGCCCGATTCATACCCCAAATCAGGGTTTGAATTCAAAAATCGACTTCCAATTAGCTAACTAATAGTTAAATATTAAGATTACTTGGATCAAGACTCATTATTATTATTTCAATATCCGATCAAAGTGATATTTTTCTGACCCTCAAATAACGTAATTAAAGTTTTAGAAGTAAAATTTCCGACAGGAAACGTCCCCGATATGGATGGCAGCACTTCAGTCGCACCGAATACCGAATCTGGCGAAGGAAATAACAACCATTGCTTTTAGAATGCAATTATTCGTCGACATTTTGGCGACAATATACTCTTTATTTAGTGCAATACTTCATTTGAGCGAAAGAACACGTTTAAAATTGATTTTGTCATTGTGATATTCACTCTTGTAGACCATGCGGATGGTCAAATACTCTTTGCTTGGCTTTCAGGCACAGCAAACTTTAGTGGGCAAAATTAGAAAAAAAAAAAGAGCTCAAAATTTTGTTTTAAAGCCTCGAAGATCGCCAGAAATAAAAATGGATAAGAGGCTTTTTGAAATTGTTTTAAAAAATCACAATCAATTGTTCTCCTTCTGGCAAATATAGTTGGTCTGAAAATGGACTAAAAAATTCCCAATCATCGACAGTTGCCAGTGTTTTACCCCTGAATCGTGATTCCGTTGACTGTGGGAAGCACTTGACTGCTCTGTAATTACATTAGCATAATAAGCAGTATGATCATTGCGCGCTTTTAACGACGACAAAAGTATTTTGTGATGGTGTAATTAGTCTATTCTAAATTGGAGCTTACCTATGCAGCGAACACATATTTAAATTGTAATTAAAGTGCGATAATAAAATAGTTTGCTCGTGACTCACAAAAAGAAATGTTAGCGTTTCCGGGATTGAAGGATCTTTATGCAGTAAATGGAATGCAATAGCACTCGGATTTCTTTATCCAGGCAATTTCGACGAGGCGAAATTTCTGGCAAGAATGTCTGCGATTCGCCGAAGCGCAGTACTTTATAAGGCCAACTTATGTCACCTTGTTGTCATGTAGAGAAAGATCTTTCTACTACATTGCTGGTATGTATTTTGGAAGTTCTACTATCCCTGTATAATTTCATAAATTATCCGGATCGTCGGTAGTTTTCAGCTGGGTGATGGAGCGACTGAGCTCAGGCCGAGGGGGATATCTTTCTTGCTGTCGAACTTCTAAGCAAGCGATAAATTCATTCTTTCTAATCTTTTTATCAGAATCCCTGTCGCAATGTTTAATAAAATTTGTCAAGCATTTCTTGGTCACTTTTCTACCCCTGAGTAGTTTTTTGAATTTTTTGTTCTCTTTGCGAGATAGGACGCGGTCACCATTTTCATCCAGATCATCGAAAAACCAACGCGCAGCACGCTCTTTCGTGGTTTGAGCCGGGTTTGTAGGATACGCAGATTGAATGTCCCCTGTGGGGCTGAGTGCTTCTACCATTTCTTCAACAAGAACTTTTTGTACTTGACTGAGGAATTTCCTTTTCAGTCGTTGCGGGCATCCAGGTATAGGAACCGATATTTCGTCAGAAAGCTTTGCTATTTCGCAGTTTGGCTTCCCGTAACGGACAGAGGTACCTTTTATTGGCGCCCCCGTTTCACTCATTACACAATAGCAATACATACCATGACACTGTACCGGTGACCAATATTGACTGTCGGTTTCATCACACTGGGGGGCTTTCACATTCTTTGGGTTATCTCTGATTATTCCGAATCGCACTTCTTTACACGTGCGTTTTACTTGTGGCATTGTTTGAAGACTTTCGTTGTTTACTGGTGATGGTTGAGGCACGGATATTATTTCAGGCTCTTCCTCTTGTAATACGTCGCTGGGTTTCGTAATCACAATAACACGCTGCTTGCGCTTGAATGGGCGGACTCCAAGGCATATGCTCCACTCAAACTCCGATACTTTTCTATTGTCATTTACGTCACAGAATGCCATGAAAACTCGTGTACATGCTCGTGGTAGTTTCTTCCGATGCGGCCTTAGCAAGTTTTTCATTTCTCGTAAATTGAGGCTTCCATCGTTATTCTTGTCCATTTTAGTATGCTTCGCTGTGACAACAGAACGCTGCATTTGACTTGTTGAAAGAGGATGTCTTTCGTAGCCCTGAACAATTAGTGCACGAAGCTTTAGAGCAAAAGCTGCTTTTTCGGCATCATTTTTACATTTGTCCTTTTTGGCCTTTGGCTTGGACCTTGACTTCCCACATGAGGGCTTTTTGCCAATTTCAAATGTTGAATTTTTTTTCATTGTCCCGAGAGGTGTGACACACCAGCAATAGCCGAGATAAACGTTACATTGGATTGGAGCAAACGATCCATCCGGTTTGCAAGTCGGTACATGGACAGGCTGCGTGCCGTTAGGCAAACTATGTACCTTTAGAATGTATCTTTTTTCTTTCAAACACCTGATTGAATTTTTGCATTTTCCCGCCGTAACATTTAAGTAGGGATCATTGCACTGGGCTTCTTGAACTTTGCATTCAGAGTCTAGCGTACGTCCATTACTGGCACAGAAATATACTTTCGGGTGCTCGGTACAACCCAAGTCACATGCGGGGTCGCCAGGCACTAGAATTCCCGCACCGTTGCCTGCAGTCGCCGCACCAAAATGCAATGAATTTGAACTCATACCGACTGATAAAACGATACACACAGTGACAAAAGTGACGTGGATACTCGTGATCATGATTCCGTATATCCTCTTTATATGATTTAAGAATATTCCATATACAGTGTATGATTATTATTCAGATGTATTCTCAATATCAATCAGGCATTAGTTATAAATGGTTAAAAAATCTGTAGAAAGTCCAATGCAGAAGATGAAATAACAGATTTGTATTTGTAAGTACTTGGTACTTGTTTTCGTCAAAAAATCTAAACTGCTGAAGTATAATAACAATCTTTTTTCACTACATTTTATGCAAAATTTCATATCAATTACCGATAAAAAATCTCTAAATATCACCGTACGAAACGATCAAGGTTAAATATTCGACGTAAATTAACACTGACTGTCTTTCCTCATACATAAATGAGGTATTCAAAAATACCTTGATGGTATTTAACAATGCTTTAACAATGTTATCGATACGATAATGTATTCCTTCCGAGCAATTAACAGTAAGCGAAATGCCTCAAATATTCTAAAAATCACTACTACAAATATTTAACATTCGTTGCACATTGAAGTATATATCTTTGTGTATTTTAAGTTTTAAGATTTTATCTCATACGTGTTTTGATGCTTAGGGCATGTTAATATCTGAGAAGTGTTTACCTTAAACATTTACGGCTACTGTCGACTTGTCACAAATTTTTTTTTAACAACTTAAATCACAATGCAAAAGAAAGAATACAGCTAAAACTGTAATCGAACATAAAAGATAGAATAAATTAATAAAAAATTGACCCGATAATGTTTACTTTTTGAAAGTCGCATATATATATAAACTACTCATTTGCAATTATTATCATACGATCGTATGTAATTGATCTCCCATATTAATTATTATGTTCAATTTTATTTCAAATGTATATAAATTCATTATATTTGAGTAATTTTTTTCTCCCAAATACCACCCTGCTGTCAACTGATAAAAGCAAATCTACGGCTTAGCTATGGAAGATTTACCTTGGGCGGTTTTCAAAATATACTGAGGCGAGATAATCCACTGTCCCAGCGCTTCGACCGTCTTGTCTTTGATTAATAGTCATACAAAGACGCTGAGACTTATATTCGAACCTTTTTTTCTTCACGAAAAATCTCATTCATTTGGTGGTCTCTAAGCTTGCTACTTGCCGCATGCTACTAAAATCATTTGATTTCGTTGTTGTACAAAAGATTTCATGTTTCAGCGCATCTTAAAATACGAAAAATAACACGTAGCTTCACTAAATAAATCAATTTTGACAATCATGAATACTGCTGACTTCCAAACAAAATACTGAATATTTACTGGCAAAAGTTTTCTCTGAATATAGCGTAAGTATGCCTCTGTGCCCTAGTTTACAAATATATATATCAAATTCTGCTATGTTGTTTCATTCTCTGATAAAAATGGCGGCCGACACCGAACAAACGTTTATCCGGCTTACACTTGACGTTTCATAACATATAGGTGGAATTCTATAAATGAAACCATAATTTTGACTGATTCATCAGCCGCTCGTGTATACGATCTTTTTTGGGTTAAGAAACAACCTATAAGGTTGCCTTGGGTATAGATAAGTATAGTCGGAAAGTAGTTTCCGATGATAGGACAACATTATGTTTCTTATATCGAAAATTATAGAACATACTTTAACCACTGCATTCCTGAACTCAAGACGACGCGAAATATTTTATCCCCGACATGAGTGTTGGAGGTGTCGCTTTCACGCCGATAACCATCATTTCTCTTGCGAACATGACCTTTTCATTTCATTGGACATTAAATATATTAAACACGTTTACTAGCGGTACACAAAAACTACGTGATGCGGCGAGCGAGAAAAATATGTATATTTAGTAGTTATATACCAATACGCTGTAGCACATTTACCTCATAATACTGTACTGAACTTGTTAATAAAAAGCGTTATCCAGACAAAAACACAACAAGTGTTCCGGTTTATTTTACTCGTGATTTTATTAATCATTCTAGCTATGTAATAGCACAATTCATAAAATATAATGTCGTGCTGAATTTATAAAGTTTAAGCATAAAATGGCGTAATTATACCGAATCGAATATTATGAAATATAACCAATCGTGGCTTTGCGAACACACGCTCAGACAGGCAGCTTTACAAAGATATGGAAAAATTTAAAGCGTTTATTTATGGTAGGCGCTAGATCGAAATATATGACTTTTTCTATGCTTAAAACTAAAAACAACAGACTTATTAACTAAACACCGCTTAAACCAATACTATACTGCGTCTACCTCCGCGACGTATTTGTCCTATGTTAGGTTAAATTTGATGTACAAGCGGATCACGATATTTTTAATAATATTATCGTGGAAATCTAGTAACACCTGGCCGCGCAGGTGCTGTCGCTCGCCAGTATGTCAACTATGCTTTCTCGTCTTTGTATCGGCGGACCCATCTTTTGGTCTCTCTTTTTCTTGCCGGCGTTAATATTTCTTTTATTTATTGATCGTCGCCAAGCGAGCACACACTACGATACGCTTTCATCAACAAACACAGCAGACGATTTTGGGAGTTTTCGAGTATTGCCGTTCAAAATTTATGCCCAAAACAATTGAATCGTTTTTGTTCACAAATTGAGAAAAATCAAGTACATTTTGAGGTATTTTTTTCACGGCGCTTACTATGAAACACATATATTCCAAAGGCTATTTCTATCCATTCATGAGTCACTGACTGAGCGCTTCTCAAAGACGCAATTCGACAGTAGCTTATGTCAGAAAGATATGAATCTACTCGAATCTAAAATTGTATTCGTCTGCGATGATCTCCCTAGAAAATGCGACCATAAACCAATGAGTTTACATAATATTGCAATCCGTTTGCCAAGTAGAGTTATCGCACCATCTGTTATAGAAAAAGATTTTTTTCTGATCAGATCGTTAATTATCACCCTTTAGAGAGCTTTTCTCTACACCATTTATGTACATATACTCTTCAACGCATAAGTCATCATTACATGATAGGGATTTATAATCTTATGTTAAACGGAATGTAAGTGCGAGAAGAAGTATAACCACTTAAATAATCTAGAGATTAAGTTTCCCCGAACTTCCTCTCCTGCCCCCAATAAATAGATGAACATTTGTTTTTAGTACGTGCTGTACAATATGTTCGATTTTTCTCTTCCCACGCATTCTTATATCGTTTAGATTAAACTGCAATAGTTGAGTAATCCGAATAGTCCATCCTTTGTTAAAAAATACAAAAGATATTCTCGTAACTTCTGATAGTAACGAGTGATGTATGTTTTCCTTCGTGTGTTTGGTATGTGATTTCGGATTTAAAAGAATTTTAGCGACGTGACTTAAATTTAAATGTCGTATTCTCTTAAACAAAGCATGGAGAATCCTGCGACCCTTCGAACGGAAGATTTACGTTCTTTTCGTGCTGTGGTGGCAATACCCGTCAAACAAATAAAAACGATGTGGAGGGTTGGTACTAAATGAAAATGTAATATATGGTTTATTTGTTAACGCCAGATGTCCCGGTTCAGAATTATAATACACCGTGCGGTCAAGTCAAAATTGAGTCCTATGTGAACCTTCAACTTTCAGGAGTGACTTGAATGTTATTTCGCAATGAAAATAACAAAATATTATCAACGGATAAAAACCATTGCCGAATTTATTAGTTTATTTCTTTCTTATTCTCTACTCTTTTGGAACGGCTCTTAACTACTTGTGTTAATATTAATACTACTGTTAACGAGGGCGGACTGTACGGCAATAACTTACGCTGAATACAAGTCGTGCTCTTTAATAAACCAGGTGTACGGTTAACAATTCTGCCCTAGGTAAATTGAAACAGCTAAGGTGGAATTCCGTTTATAGTACTGATACGACAACGAAACGTCTGTTCGGTTCGTGATGACAGTCAGATTTTAATGCTGTAGACAAAGACAGCTGAGTAAAGATTAGTCTATCGTTAATTGATGTTGGATAAACATTGTGTCAAAACAGTCATGAAATCCACATCAACTTGATCACACATATTTGCAGAGACATTGGTCGCTATCGTGATAACTCAACCATGACTGCTCATAGAAAAATTTTTTTTATTGCAATACTGCAAATTCATCAGATTTTAAGGATGATATGAGTTATTCAAGATATCATCACAAACTTGCGCGGTGTTTGTGGAATGAAATATGCCGAATTTACGAAATAAAGTCTGGAAAATCAGTACATTGTCTTTAATAGAAGATTCAGTTCTGAAAATCATGAAATATATGAGTATTTTTACCAGCAGTTTGAAGCAGATTAATTAAATGAGTAAGATATTTTCTACCTATATCATTTGACAGCAAGTGAACAGGGAGCGGCTGACTGCTCACGAGAAAGTATCGGTGAGAGGTGCTAAGTAAACACTCATCAATTACGCTTTATCAACCGGTTATCGTACGCCATTGTTTGATGCGCAGTCGGCCAATATTGACTCAGCACTTCTCAGGCAGATTCGGAAGGGTTTCGATGAATAACGTTAGCTACTTCAGCCACTGGAAAGTGGCATATAGACTTCTGGAAATGACGCCAACACTCAAACGACGCGTCATGCCAAGGGTATATCTTTTGTGGCACCAATGGCCCTTGAGAAATAATCTCTTCCGACGTTTGTTTAGTTTTCCTAAAATATTATATTTTCTCCGAGACAAAATCCGTTATACTGTTAAGTTAATAAGTGTAATGACCTCGCCTAAGCTTTAAACTTTGACCTTCAATAGATGACGACAACTGAGCGCAAATTATTCATATATAAAAATAGATCCATTTTTGATAAAAACTGTCTGTCTAGATCTAGAATTATCCATTTGCCTGGGACCTACTCCGCTAGGTAGTTTTACCTTTTTGGTATATCGGCATAATATTATACAGTTCGTTCCAAACTGACTACTTTCTTGAGTTTTTTTCTACAATAACCAGCAAAATCGATATATTTGCTTCTTTTATGGAAGAATTTGTTTATTTTTACCCACATATTGACGTCATTTTCCCAATATCATAAACGCTACGTGGAGAGCTAAGTATTTGGCATTAAACAAACTACTTTATACTTGCCTCGTTTACAGACAAAAATCAAAACAAGAAATAGGGGCTGGAAGAACTAATTAAGTACTTGCGAAAAGGTCCCTCGCCACACGCAAAAGCGCCCTAATTTTTAATCAACATACCGCCCAACCCCAACCTAGGATTACACCAGGTGCTCTTGCTGGGCAAGGTTATCTATCCTATTTGTCTGAAAGATAAAATCTCTAATTAAT